AATTATTTATTTTTTAACAACTAGTTTATTCTGTAATTTCATTTAACTCACATTATTCAATAGCTTAATGATAGTTGATCCAATTCTTAATTCTATTAGGTTTGAGATTCTTAGTAAGAATGAATCTGGTTTGTTGATTTGAATATTAGTAATAATAAATATATGTAAATTAATTAATTGTTGTTGACAGTATAGAAACCGGAGGTTAAAGAGACAAAGAATTCATCAGAGTGATTCGATTTAAAATTCTTATTTAAGTAAAGCATATTATATACTTCTTATTTTCAACCTTTGTGGAGCATGACAAAAATAGGAAGAATTCTGAATAATGCAATTATTGGAATATAAGGAGTATATGCAATAATTTAATTTAAGGGTTTAATATAATATGAAACTACACATACAAAGGAATTTACTCCTATGAAGTTTTGAGTATTAAGCTGAAGTATCAACCCGCAGTTGTTAGACATAAATTATACTATATGAAATTTAAATATTCATGTATCCATAATCTAATTGTTTAAATATTCTATTTAAATCCATAAATAGTTTTTGGAACATGATCAAATGCTCTGATTACTTTAAATATGTTCCCTTTTAATTGGGCAATTCAATTTATTATATTTTTTATATATTTTATTCTAATAATATAGTTATTTTGTATTAAGAATACTAAATTATATATCCTTAATAGCAAATTATACATTACAACATTGCGAATATGATGTTCTATAACATGGCTATGATTACTTATATTTTTCATTTTAGGTTATCAATCTATCAGCAGACAAAATGGAAGTAGAATTTCTTTAGAATCACAAAAAGAATCTATGTTTATTTAGTGTGTTTCTTAAATATATGATTGGAGAATGCTGTGATAATTAAGCATTAATACAATTGTATTGATCTTATTAAAAAAAACAAGAAGTTCAAAGCAACTTGAAGCCTTTGTTGATAAACATGTTTAGAATGGGGGCAGAAAAGTAAATCACAGTATGAACAGTAGTATGCAATTTAATTAAATAGTTCCATTTGCAGTTATAAATAAAAATGGCAACACTTCTAAAAGTAATTATGAGCTAAATTACATCAAAACTCGCTCTAAAAGTTAAAATAAAATATTTCATAATCTTCTTCTCGTATTAAGAGATTAGATTTTATGATTCCATCTCTCCAATAACATGAAAAAAGTTTGGATACCCACATAGACTTAGACTTGGTGAATGAAGTTCATCTTATTTCATTTTGTTTATTAGTCAAAAATAATTTAGATCAATATAAATTTATCAGATTAACTATTATTATTAAATCGTTATAAGAACCAAATAATAACTACTTTTCATGCATCATAATTATACTTATTCTAAGAATAACAAAACCAAAAAAATTTATTTTTAATATCATCTCTATTACTCTAATAGCCAAGATTCCTTACTAATAAATCAACTTTTTTTTTTTGTTCCTAAATTCTAATATCCTAGTAAAATTGATATTTTTATTTAAATATAACCAGAAGTGTGATCTTTAACTAATTAATCAATAAACTTATTTTTTTTCCATTTAGAACTAGATGATACTTAAAAATTTCCATAAAATAATAATTTTATTTTTCAATGTTAGTTTTACGTTATACTTTTGCGTTCTGAAATACCTCGAACTATATATTCAATTTCTAAAAATAAATTTTCAGTTTTTATTTTGCAATTAGAGTTGGAAAAATTTTAATTTAGTTTAATTTTCGATTTAAACCTTCTTATTAGCCTGTTATATTTTTTAAGAATGCTTGATCTAATATTTCTCATTGAAACAATTTACCTCAAGAAATTTTTAAAAAACTAATAGTTTAATATATTGAAAATAAATTATTATACAATGAAGCAGCCAATTTGGAATGATAATCAATAATTAATAATATCAATTTTACTTTTAATATCTAGGAAACTAATTAGAAATTTGATTTATACATTATAATCTAACATACAAGTTTAATTTGAAGTGTATGTTTGAGTTTCACCTCCCATATATTTTGGATCCCTTAATTTTACAACAATCCCACTCATTATTAAAATTATTATTAAAATTGATTTAATTTAGAAAGGTATTTGTCTAGTTGGAGTTGTGTTATTTCCAGAACAAATTCCATTAATCACCTTGAAAATTGCACTCACTAAAAAAATCAACACATGGATATCCAATCTCTAACCTTATATCTCTAATTCGCCATTATTCTATAAAATAGGTATACATTACCATCATCAAGAGGATTATCTAAATTATCATATATAGAAATTTTTATTTTATTTTTCCCCAATTTAGATACAATTGTAATTGTTTTCTCCACTAACTAATACTACCAAATGGTATTACGACATATATATTTTCCATCAAAACAAAAACACTTACTTTTATCGATTATTTCATCATCAACTTCAACATATAGATATTCGCGATCCCAAGAATCGAAAATTCCAGATGTGAAAGACAATTTTAAATAAGTACCTGGTGGGCAATAAAATTCTTTTGATATAGTAGTCCTTTATCCAAAAGGACCTAAATATAATTTTCCTGCGCAATTCACTACTTTGTTTGGTATAGACCAACCATTATTGTAGCAATCACTTCCTTAAGGTTCAATACAGTTTTCAATTAAAAAAATAGGGAAAAGAATTTTGATAAAAGAAATTCCTAACATTTGATAATGATTATGATATTATTAATCGATTAATCTCAATTCATACACTATACACTGATTAATACTCAACTATTGTAACAATATGAGAGAAATATATAAACTTTATTAACTAAAACTTTCCAATAAGAAATAAATTATTTTAAATTTTTGTTCATAGCATGATATGTATAATTTTTAACAAATTGCAAAATAGATAAGTTAAAGCTGAATTCGCAAATTTTTCATATAATTATATAATTGTCATTAAATTAGAATATTTAGATTTTGTAGTTTTCAACAAAAAAGAATTATATTCTTTGAGTATAACTTAATATGAAGTTAATACAATAATAAAAATAATATTTTT